GCCAACTAGTAATAGCTTCAAAAATCTTTCTCTTGTGCTTCAAATTTGTTCATAATCCTTGTTTTTAATAAGTATATCATCAAATAAACGACGACAAATTTTCCTATTTATGGCTGAAATATTTAGGTCATGAGTTTCATAAATGTGCTAGGAGTTCTTCATTTGAATTTGGTGACAGTCACTCTTCAAATCAATTTTAGAAAATATCTTGGCCCCATGTAATTGGTCAAAATGATCATCAAGCCCAGGAATAGGAAATCTATACTTGATGGTGATCCTGTTAATAGCACGATTGTCAACACACATGTGCCAAGATCCATCTTTCTTAGGATCTTGATAATTCTTGCCAATAGAGAAAGGAATAAGGCATCGTCTAACTTGTACATTCCTTCCTTCATCCCGCCACCTCATGCGGTATGACTTCTGCAATGACTCCGTCTCAAACCCAATTTGGTAACCGTTTCTTCAAAAAGTACATTGGTACAACTTCCTGGATAAATTATGAGTGTACAAACCTTCCCTTAGATGTACAACATGTATGGAAAATATTGTGTCGTAGCCATGGTTCTGCCTTGCTAGAATCTGAATGCAAAAGTCATTGGATCATAAGGTATTCTCCATCATCTCCATATTCAGCTACTTCTTCCAACAAGTCATCGTGTTGCTCTTCATGATAATCTTCTTCATCATTTGCACCTTCAAGGATGGTGAATGCGTTTTTGTTAGGACAATCAGCTTGTATATGCTCAAGTCCTCCACATTTATGGCATCTCTTTTTAAAAATAGCTTCTGAAGTCATGGGCTTCCCTTTAACTTTTTGGACACTTGGTTTTGTTGTAGATGATTGTGGCTTTGTAGAGCTCAAACTAGCACTCCCATGGTTGAAAGTGTTCGGCTTTTTGATGGTAGTTGATGAAAATGTGGCTTTGTCTTCCTTCTGTTGTGTCTCTACGACCTTGGCTAATTTGACAACATCTCTAACGGTCCAATGGGGTTGCAATCATTTTACATTCGTAATAGACTTATTTAATCCAGCCAAATATCGAGCAATTAAGCGGGCTGGTTTTTCTTTAATGTCATCTTGAGCCTAAGATATTCAAATTCTCTTGTGTACTCATCCACGGATAAAGTTCCTTGTCTAAAAGAATAAAACTTCAAGTAAGAACTTTCTTCATATGTCTCTTGCGAGAACTGTTTGCTCAATTCTCGTTTCATTCTCTCCCTAATGTGAGTTCATGTTTTTCCTTCAAGCTCTCGCTCTCTTTTGAGGTTTTTCCACCATATGCATTACCTCTAAGCTTTTATAACAAGTTTGACCTTCTTCTCATCAAAATATTCTTTATAATCAAAAACATGCTCAATAGTTATAAGCCAATCAATGAATTCATCGCCTTGAGATTTTCCATCATACTCCGAAATTTCAAGCATAATACCATCACATTGATACCTCTCTCGATTATTATTGTGCGTCCTTCTCTGAAATCTCCTTCTATCATGTTGATACTGAACTTCATCAGAGTCATACTCTTCACTACCTTGATTATCATAGTATTCCGAATTTGAGTTTTTATCATAGTGAGCATGGCTTCTCGGTACTCTCATGCCTTGGTCAGCTATAGCTTCTTCTGCTTGCTCAATATGTCCTGCTCTACGCGGTTGAATTGGTGGATCTCGAAGTGGAAGACATCGCATAGCATTGGTGTGTTGTGTCTTGGTGGCGGTGGAGGTTATAGGCGTTGTGGCAGATTTGGTGGTTGATTTTTAATAGCTAAACCTTCAACCAATTGAGTTAGATTCTACGCTGATTTCTTTAAGTCATATAGCTGCACTTTAATTTCTTCGTTGTCTCGTTCAAGGTCTGTAGTTCTTAATCTTTCAATCTGAATTTGTTCATCAATTGAAGAGGATACTGGACTTTCAATTTTCTTGTCTGGTGACATGATGAACAAGATAGCAATTCAAGAATTCGAATCTAGAGTCTATGCTCTGATTCCAAATTGATGTACTTTCAATGTTTTGCACCTCTCAAGCACAAAGAAGAGAAAAACAAAAGCACCTCGCTAAAGTTTTTCACAAAACTAGCGAAAGCGTTCTTCAAATTCACGGTAGACGAATGTAAGATGAAAAGAAACCTCACCAACACGTTCTTCAGTCCCGTAAGATTGCAAGAAGCGTTGAATAAATGAATAACAATGAAATAAAAAGTAAATCACTTTTTTTGTAGCAAGAGCTTAGAAAAACTAATCACCAATGTTTATTTTCAGGATATTAAGCCTTTTAAATAGGCCTTACAATGAGTACAATGGATAAGGTTAAGGAAAACTAATCCTAATTAAACTAGAATAAGAATAAGGCTAAGAAAACCTGTCCTAACTGAAATAGGAAAAAAAATTCTAGTAGAAATAGACTACCAACTAACAATCCTAGTTTGACTAGAACTATAAATATAATCCTACTAAAACAAGAATTAAGAAATCTTAATCTTTAAGGAAAAGAAATCCTAATCTTGAATGGATTCTTGTACTTCTTCAATTTCTTGAAATTCTTGGGCCTCAATCGGACTAAAGGCTAATTAGTGTAAGCATTTTAAATTCGTGGCCCAATTCTCCAAATCCATTGGCACCTTCATGGGCGCAATAAGCCTCCATTGTGTAGAAAACATGGCCTCCATATGTTCATCCGAAGGTATTCATCCTTGAGGTGGTGTTACTCCATACATCAAACAAAAATCGTATTTGGTTCATATTTGTTGTCGAAAACCCAATGGATCGTGAGTAACTCATTCTCTCTTTCATAATTTCTTTTCATGAGTTAGTTCCATATGGTTTCTAACCTCGTTTGAAAACTATCCATATTGATTACAATGATATTTCGTTGTAATATTTGTCCCCACAGAGCATCTTCTTTGCGCGCAAATCACGATAACCATTTCCCCAAAACAACTTGCTTAAAAATAGATTGTTCTCTGATGCCTAATCCCCCATCTTTGATCACTTCCATCTAACAGAGTTGAATTTTCTCTTTTTTTCCCCAGCTCCAATAAGAGTCCCACACAGTTCTTCCAGTTCCTTATTAACTAAGAAAGGAAATGGAGACATGGAATGTAGCACTCGTTTGGACTGAAAATCCCCTTTGTATTGTTTCAATTCTTCTTTGTTTTTGAGTGTCTGGATTTGGTTTTGAATGAAATATTTTGAGCATATTATGATTAAATTTGTTCTTCAAAAAAGGAAAAAGAAACTTAAAGGAAATGGAGACATGGAACAAAGCACTCGTTTGGACTGGAAAACACTTTTGTACTGTTTAATTTTTCTTTTTTTGTGAGCGTCTCGATTCGGTTTTGAATGAATTATTTTGAGCTTATTATGATTAAATTGGTTCTTCAAAAAGGGACAAAGAAAAAGAATGGTAAAATTGGTCTTGGTTTCCTCTTATGTTCTCTGAAGAACTCCTCACAGCTTGTCCAACTTCCTCTTCAAAAGAGCCTCCTTTATGGTGTTGCTAATTCTCTGGAATGTCGTCGTCCTCAATTGTGGCCCCCGATCCTCAATTCTCATAGTAGGGTGATAGTGTTTGATAGTATTGAAATATAAGTGTTGTATAACTGAAGCTTCTTAATTTGGTGCATGAATTTACTTAATATTTGATGTTCAAGCCGTTAGAGAGCTTATGTGAGGCAATTTCTTTTGTTGGTTCGCTTTGAATATTTTAAAATTTGGAGGCCCAATTCTTTCTCAAGTAATGACATTTAGAGGAAAAAATAAATGAAAAAGTTTTCGGCCAAAATCTATTCCAATTTCTGATCCAGTTGTGTTTGTTTGATAGTTTTTGCAAAACAAGTAAAGATGAAAAGAAGCATAGACAATAAGTAGTAGCAACAAGAGAAGATGATAATGCCCGAAGAGAAAGAAGCAACATATAGTGAACGAAAAATTGCAAATAAGGAAAAACGAAAATACAAGACTAGTACTAAAGCTATGTTGGTGAAAAGGAGACACGCACGACTACCTACTAAGTTTTTGCAAAACAAGTAAAGATGAAAGAAGCATAGACAATAAGTAGTAGCAACAAGAGAAAATGATAATGCCCGAAGAGAAAGAAGCAACATATAGTGAACGAAAAATTGCAAATAAGGAAAAACGAAAATACAAGACTAGTACTAAAGCTATGTTGGTGAAAAGGAGACAGGCACGACTACCTACTAACCTTCTACCCTAATTCTTGACCTCCACACCTTCCTATGAAGGGTCATGTCCTTAGTAAGCTGAAGCGCGCCATGCTCTCCCCAATACTTCTTAGCCCCACCATAGTCAGTCTCTCACACCTCTCATCGGGGCATTTATGCATCTCCTCTTCACATGATCGTACCATCTCAGTCTCGTTTCTCGCATCTTGTCCTCCACGGAGGCCACTCCCACCTTTATATAAACTTTCTCCAAAAAAAAAAACTTATCCAAAATATAAAACATCAAGAAAATATTCATTCTTCTATATTCTAATTGAATTATTTGCATGTCCAACATGGCAGAAAAGAATTGCAGCCAGTTGTATGCTTTGTTTTTGAGCTTCAACTCCTAAAGCATAAAGGACTTAATCACAAGGGAGTTTAGGCCTTATGGGTGACTCTCTATCCTGCATGTCTCATCTTTTATATACTCTTTCCTTCTTCGCTTTGATATTCTACATGTATCAGTTTGCCCTTTTCCCTCTCCAAGCGCTTTTTTTCATTTTGTTTTCATTTCAGTTGAAGTGTAAGGCTAAAAAATGATTAAACTTTATATAAATAGAAAGGATGGAAATGAAAATTTTATCACTGGCTTATGAATTGAGACTAAGATGCTTTGGTTATCGAAGCAAAAGCTGGTTCCAATAGACCTAATTTACATGAGTCTGAGTATATTTTCTCTTTGGACTACTTGGAGAAACTGACTGTATATGTGAAGATGCCCATTTTTATATCTAATGCATGATCTGTCGCTGAAGTTTTCTCCTTTATGCAGTCAAGGAATTGATAAGATGGCATGGGATGCTTCAGGAGAGCGTCTAGCCTTATCTTATCGAGATGGGGATGACTTGTACAGGGGTCTTATAGCAATATTTGATGTTAGAAGAAGTCCACTGATTTCAGCGTCTTTGGTGTAAGTTGGAATTATCTCTGTTTATGCATGCTTGTCTATTAAAATTTGTACTATTAATTAGTTATTGGTTTCACATATGTGGTGGTTCTGACGGAGATAAATCTCTTCACGTATTACTGGATTGTGTATGTACTTAATTTTATTCTTAATGTTTCTAACAACGTTTATTTTTATACAAAATCCAGTGGGTTCGTTAGGGGTCCTGGAGATGACCCCAAGCCAATAGCTTTTTCATTTCATGACAAGTTTAAGCAGGGACCATTGCTTTCTGTGGTTAGTTCCAACACATTCTTGAGTCCTTCGTTATAATACTGCTCTTTGTTTAATATTCAATAGTGTCATTGTGGTCCTTCCACCACTGTAATTGCTATAGATCTCCTCAACGCCATAACCAGATGATTCTAAAGGAGATTCCGTTTGCTTCATTAGCTTACAGAAGTTTTGGTTTCTAAACTAAATTAGGATTTTGTGCAGTGTTGGAGCAGTGGATTTTGCTGCACCTATCCCCTCATATTCCGCTCTTATGTTCTTCCATAGTCAAGGTATGTAACATCGGAATTTTTCCAATGTAAAATTGTCATCTGGATGTATAATTTTGCAGAGGGAGTGCCATCTGTGATGGGAAATTATAGGTAGTAAAAAGAAAGAATTGTAAGTTTGAACCTCTGATTAATTCAGCCATGTAATTATTTTACATGAATTATGCAGATACAGCGAAATTTTACTATCAACTGTGACATGAGGAAAACAGTTTCATCCAAGATTTCGATAATGCAGAGCTAGAAATGCTAGATTGAAGAATCCGATTTCATAATTCAAGATGGATTATCTTCAACTCCTTAGGAGATTGCAGGGCAGAGTATTTGACAATTAAATCTTTACCTTCACCAAACAGAAGTTTGGGTTTTAAGTATGCGTTATGACTTTATGTTTCTACAGAGAAGTTCCTACTTTATATACCTAATGTTTGGAGGATTTAGTATATCAGTGGAATTGGATGTGCTAAGAGCTGTAGTTTCCTTTTTTGAAGTGTTTACCCTCAAAATCATATATCACGGTGGGAATCTTGGCACGTATTAGTGAGAGACAGATTAATTAGCAAATCATGAGATTTCTTACCTTTTATAGAATTGTACCTAAAGTAGATCTCCCCTACTATATAAAGGGGGTCAGATAATTTGTAATAGACACGGTAACATTCACTTAGAAGCAATATATTGTTATTTTCTCTTTAAAACTCTATTTCAACTATGACTCTCACGGCTGTTACTGTCCAATTCGTGCGGTTTGAATTATTTTATCATTTGTTATTTGCAATTATAATCTAACTTATCGCTTTGTATCAATTTAATCTACTTATCCTTAAAATCACTTATAAATTCAATTGTTACTTGATTTTGAGGGTAAATAGTTTGGCGCCCACCGTGGGGTTAAGGATAATAGTGGTTATTTGATACAAATTTTCTTATAACACACAATTTTATACTTGTTCTTTGGAGTGTCTTTGATTCCAGGATCAAAATGTCAGAACTCTCAATCAGTACCCCTACACATTGACAATGATTTTGACCACCACGATGAAAACCATAACGTAGCACCTGGGAACGATGTACCCCCGGTCGATCTCGATGGAGTCCCGGCGACAGATCCAATCGATGTCAGCTCACATGTGGCCAGCAACGCAAATTTGCCCTTTGATCCTGAGGACATCGTCTGTAGGGATGTTCGATCGGCGCTCAAAGCACACATGACATCGAAGACGGTGGAATCAACTTGCGGGGTGATCTTCGAAATGTTACAGGCTTAACAGGCGGCGATAGCCCACTCCAGAACCAGAGTTGCCCACCGAGTAGGATTGAGCCCGAGCCATCCCAGGAAGTTGTTCGCAGAGTTATCGGCCTCAAAGAGATCGAATGAGAACCAATCCGGTAATCATGAAGATGCTCGAGGAACTGACAAAACGAATTGAGTCGGGAGAAGAAAATCGAGGCAAACAACAAGGTGGAAATACAATTCCAGGGTCGATCAAATCCCAGGAGCGCCACCAATATTGAAAGGCCTGGACTCCAACAAGTTCGTGCACAAACCTTTTCCCCCGAGCGCGGCTCCTAAGCCGATCTAGAAGAAGTTCCGCATGCCCGAAATTCCTAAATACAATGGAATGACCGACCCGAACGAGCATGTTAGCTCTTACAATTGTGCCATCAAAGGGAATGATTTAGAAGATGATGAGATCGAATCTGTCTTGCTGAAGAAATTCGGAGAGACCCTATCGAAGGGAGCTATGATATGGTATCACGATTTACTACCTAATTCTATTGACTCATTTGCTATGCTTGCAGCTTTTTTGTGAAGGCACACGCCAGGGCTATCAAGGTCGAGGCCAGGAAGTCGGACCTTTTCAAAGTAAGGCAGAAGGACAATGAAATGCTCAGAGAGTTCGTGTCTCGATTCCAAATAGAACGGGTGGACCTACCGTCAGTCGCTGATGATTAAGCCGTCCAAGCCTTCACCCAAGGACTAAATGTTTGAAGCTCGGTGGCTTCACATCAGTTAAAGCAGAATCTGATAGAGTACCTGGCTGTTACTTGAGCCGATGTGCATAACCGGTATCAATCAAAGATTAGGGTCGAAGACGATCAACTTGGGACTCCTTCCAGGTCCGTTTATCTTGTCAAACCCGTCGACATAATCAAGAGAGATATTGATCGTGAACCAAGGTCAAACAGAGATCGGAACCAACCATATAATGGAGATCGTAGAAGCAGTGGGTCCGGGAGAAGTTCTATGCGAAATGAAAGAAGAAGTGATCGGGGTCAAAGCTCTCGAGGACTGATGAGCAAGAACGACTTCAACAGGTCTATTAGACCTAAAGAAGCACCACGATTATTGGAATATAACTTAATGTTGATGCGGCTGCCATCGTATCGTCTATCAGATACATCAAAGATACCAAATGGCCTCGACCTATACAATCCGTTCCAACCCAAAGAGATCCCAACCAGATGTGCAAATATCATGACACTCATGGCCACAAAACGGAGGATTGCCGACAGTTGAGAGAGGAAGTAGCCCGGTTATTCAAAAACATGCACCTTCGAGAATTTCTGAGCGACTGAGCCAAGAATCATTTCAGAAATAGGGATTCTAACAAACAGATCGAACCGGAAGAACCTCAACACGTTATCAACATGATTATTGGTCGATGTCCCTCAAGGATCGATGTTGAAACACACCAAAGTGTCCATCACAAGGGAAAAACGGACTCGAGAATACATACTGGAAGGAACCTTGTCTTTCAGCGACGATGATGCAGAGGGGATCGTGCAACCTCACAACGATGCTCTGGTAATATCTGTACTCATAAATAAATCTCGGGTTAAGCGTGTGTTAATTGATCCAGGTAGCTCGGCCAACATCATCCGATCGAGGGTCATGGAACGACTCGGTCTTCAGGATCATATTGTACTTGCAGTCCGAGTTCTGAACGGGTTCAACATGGCGTGTGAAACCACTAAAGGGGAGATAATATTACCAGTTAACGCCGCTGGAACCATCCAGGAGGCCAAGTTTTATGTGATCGAAGGTGACATGAGGTACAACGCCCTGTTCAGGAGGCCATTGATCCACAACATGAGGGCAATGCCCTCGACTCTTCACAAAGTGTTCAAATTCCAACACCGGGAGGGATTAAGACGACCTACGGAGAACAACCAGCTGCGAAAGAGATGCCTGCAGTTGATGAAGTGTTTCCGATATCAACACTCGCAACGTCAAAGGAACCAAGTTCGGAAGCAAAGCAAGAGACCAAATAGCAATCAACGATACCGGCCACGACCCAACCGGACAAGCAGGGGACTGACGAAGACGATGATTACCGGGTTCCCCGTTATTTTATAGTCCCCGACGACTCCGACGCTAATAAATTAATGGCCGAAGAGCTGGAACATGTCATATTGATTGAACATCTACCCGATCGGAAGGTATAGTTGGGCACGAGGTTAACTCCCGAGCTCAGGAAAAGACCCGTTCAATTTCTTATAGCTAACATGGAATGTTTCGCTTGGTCCCATCTTGACATGACAGGGATCCCCCCGGAGATAACCACTCACAAGCTAAGCCTGGACCCGAAATTCCCTCCGGTCAAGCAAAAAAAGAGGCCCTAGTCCGAGGTCAAGCACGCGTTCATCAAGGACGAGGTATCTAAACTCCTTAAAATAGGGTCCATTCGGGATGTTAGATACCCCGATTGGTAGCAAACGTAGTGGTAGCCTCTAAAAAGGAGAACTAACTAAGAATGTGTGTAGACTATAAGGATTTGAACAAAGCATGCCCGAAAGACTCTTTCCCTCTTCCCAACATCGACCGAATTATCGATGCCACGGCCGGACATGCGATCCTCAGCTTTCTCGATGCTTATTCTGGGTACAACCAAATACGGATGGACACGGATGATTAGGAGAAAACCTCCTTCATTACTAAGTACGGCACATACTGCTATAGCGTGATGCAATTCAGAACTAAAAACGCCGGTGCCACTTATCAATGCCTAGTAAACCGGATGTTTGAGGAACAAATAGGAAAATCGATGGAGGTTTATATTGACGACATGTTGGTTATGTCCCTACGAGCAGAGGACCATTTAAAACATTTGCAGGAAACTTTCAGCATTTTGAAGAAGTACAATATGAAGCTGAACCCGGATAAATGTGTGTTCGGAATCGGATCAGGTAAATTCCTCGGGTTCATGGTATCCAACCAAGGAATCGAAGTTAGCCCCGACAAAATCAAAGTCATCAAAGATATCACGGTCGTGGACAACGTGAAGGCCGTGCAAAGATTAATCGGCGCATAGCCACCCTAGGACTATTCATCTCGAGGTCCTCGGATAAGTGTCACCGATTCTTCTTGCTACTCAAAAAGAATAACAACTTTTCGTGGACTCCAGAGTGTCAACAAGCCCTGGAGGAACTCAAAACGATATTTATCGAGCCCACCGGTGCTTCATACACCGAAGGCAGATGAACAACTGTACTTGTACTTGGCAATATCAGAAATAACGGTAAGTGGGATCCTGGTCCGAGAAGAATAAGGTACGCAATTTCCAATTTACTATTTTAGCAGGACCCTTGGTGAGGCCGAGACTAGGTACCCTCACCTGGAAATATTGGCGCTCACTTTGCTAAGCGCCTCTAGGAAACTAAAACCTTATATTTAGTGCCACTCCATATTTATTGTGACAACTTACCCGTTGCGAAATATTGACCCGAGCTCTCGGGACGATTGGCCAAATGGGCCGTGGAATTTAGTGGGTATGATATTGGGTATCGACCCCGAACATCCATCAAATCTCAAATTTTGGCAGATTTCGTGGCTGACTTTCCGCCGGCCCTAATACCCGAGTTCGAATGAGAGTTGTTGGTAAACTCCGGATGTCCTCGGGAATCTGGACCCTCTTTACGGACGGTGCCTCGAACGCGAAAGGGTGCGAACTCGACATCGTTTTGAAGCCGCCAACAGGCAATGTAGTTAGACACTATATCAGGACAGTAAAATTGACTAACAACGAGGCCGAATATGAGGCCATGATTGTAGGTCTCGAACTAGCCAAAAGCTTGGGGGCGGAGGCGATAGAAGCTAAGTGCGACTCCCTCCTCGTAGTAAACCAAGTTAATGGAACATTCGAGGTTAGAGAAGAACGAATGCAAATATACATGGATAAGTTGCAGGTAGAATTACATCGGTTCAAGGAGTGGACCTTAAAACACGTACCCTGAGATCAAAACAGTGAGGCCAATGCCCTTGCTAACTTAGGGTCATCGGTCGAAGACAATGAGCTTAATTCGGGGGAAGTAGTGCAACTCATGAGATCAGTGGTGGAAGAAGGTCATGCCGAGATAAACTCTACAAGCCTGACTTTGGATTGGAGAAACAAATACGTAGGATATCTTAAGACCGAAAAACTGCCCTCGGATCCAAAAGAATTGAAGGCCCTCCGTACAAAGGCAGCACGATTTTATTTGTCTGAGGATGGAACCTTGTTAAGGAGAATGTTCGATGGCCCAATGGCAATATGTTACAAAAAATATCTACATTTATAGCCAACCGTTATGTATCCATCAATGACAATTTTATTCTCATTCAAGAGAGGCTTGATTTGGGGATATTGTCTCCCTAAATAGGGATATAAATACAAGGATTATCATCCATTGTAGGACATGAAAACACTTGGCACGCAAAAA